CCCCCCTGCCGGCCGACACCAATCGACAGCCGTCGCTGAGCAGGGGGGGGGTCGAGCGACGGCTGTCGATTGGTGACTGAAAGATTCTGAAATCACAACTAGAAATCTCTTCACTTGTTGCTAGACTTACAAAGCACGCAGTTCCCACTTAAACCCTAATACGTCACTATACTGGTCAACCGAAGGATACATCTCCCCAGGTGAGTTTGAGTTCTTTCTCGTAACAGGCTACTCGTAGTGCTCGATCCATTACACCTTCCAATGAGCTCAAGATGAGTCGATTCAAGCACGCTTGATTGGCAAGCCAATGTCTCAGCTAATTAAAAGCTTTACTACAATTGCGGTAGCGACTACACCAAAACGATAATTAGACAACACGACAGGGGACCCGTCGCTATGCCAGACAACGGTTTTAATCAGCTTCGATCCCTGTATGAGAACCACGGCTTATTGAAAGGTGGTAATGGATTGAGCACTACGCTTATGTAGAAGCCCCCTGGTCAACGCCATCAAGCTCGGGAAACTAAGTATTGTCAAGAAACTGATCGAATACCTCCGCTATTCTCCACTCACACAGGCGCATGGATATGCTCTGCTCAAAACTCCATCGACAAATTTTCCTATTTACAAAGCAATTCAAATGTTGATTACTTACAACAGAGATGACATTCTGTTCAGGCTCGCAAAGTTAATACGCCACAAATTTGGCAGAATTGACCTCGCAGATTTCGACGTTTGCGTCCGCCTGGTGGCCAGGACCTCCAACATCAGAGTAGTAAGATCTCTCTTCGGCATTCCAGCCTCACCAGCGTGGACATTGACCCCGAACACCATGTGTACGATTTGCAATTCTGCGGATTATGATCTGATATACTTCGCATTTCATGAAGCTGACTGTGCCAACCAATGTATAAATTCACGAGGGCATCCCTTGCACATCGCTGTTCGGGCTGTACTCGAAGCCACACGAGCGGTTCACGACACTGAAAAATACGATATTAACGAGCGCGTGATCTATACATTCAAGAGCTACTGGAACGAACCTGTGACAGCGCTTGATATAGCAAATTTTTACGAGAACCATGCGATAATAAAATGGCTCTTGGACTACGGAGCCAACTATCCGAGAAGGTTCCCTTATTCGCATATTTCCGGCAGAATATACAACTGCATACGAGATCGAGCTATCGTGGATGACCCAGGAATGAGAGATTCACCGTCTTATGGGCAGTATCAGAGTATGAGTGTAGAGGCGCGGGAGAGATTTGTATTTGGCCTTGATCAGTAGGTGCTCAAACAGACTACGCCATATGGTTAGATTATTGAAGATGATAACTCAATTGGCAAAGGCGAAAAGGGCAATGGAAATCCTTCGTTAATGGGTTGAAGACATGAACAATCATCTTGCTACTCTTTCTAACAGCACGATGACTATTTCAAAGGAAAGAGAGCTTGATTTATGAAGTCTCTGTTGTCATGGCATCAAAGCCGTTATTTCTTTAGTCACTCCCCGGCTCAATAACATCATTTCAGATTTCAAAACGATTAGGAAAAACAAAAAATGCCATATCTATTTCACGTGAACCGAAATGTATCTACTTCTATCACCTCTCTGCTCCACATCATTGGAGACGGCAAAGGGGATTCTTCTCATTCCATCGGCAAGAGAAGCAGTAGTTTGAGTACGCGATACGCTCATTCTCGTCAACCACCTCCGCAATCTTTTGGTTTTCCTTCAGAAACTTCTCGCACTCATACTTGTCTGCATTGGATCTACCCGTACGACGCAGATATTCCAGACGCGCAGCCAACGCCTCAAGTATATCATCCTGGTCTTGATTGGAAAAACGCTCTATAATATCGTCCTCCTTAAGCGTGGGAATACGCACGTTGATGTGGCTCTTGTACTGGGTTACGAGATGGTCGACATATTGCTCCATGCCTAGGCACTGCGCTGCAGGACGGATGTGAATGGTTGCTATGGCCTCATTATCTTTGGATGCATGAGTAAGCTCAACTTCCAAACATGCATCAGAGGCGCTAATAATAGTGTTGACCCATTTCACGAGCTTTGAAACAGCGTCATCATCAAGGGAATTCTCGGCGATCTTGATGAATTCGGCATTGGGATTTGCCGTCAAGTATTTGGAAATGTGGAAGAGACAACAAACAAGGCTAATTTGGGCACCGTGGCGATGAAGTCTTCACCATTTTTTTTGACCATGTTGACTGTGCCTGCTGAGAGAAGCCCTACGTGCGCAGAGGACGAGTAGCTGCGGATGTCGTGTCCGTCAGGCATTTGATCCATGTTGGCAATTGTGTTCTGAATCTGGGTGCAAGTCTTGGAGGCGTCAATGCCAAGCGCGTTGGTGATATTGGAGAACATTGTGTTTGGTTTGGATTGTAGTTTTATCTGTGAAGAAAAATATGCTGTTGAACTCTGCTTAAACGGGATATTGTTTAAACGCAAAGTATGTTCTGAGTGACAAGAAAAACCTGAGAGTGAATTCCCATAGAAATATTTTGGGAAGAATGTCAATGTAAGTTTCCTTTTTTGTTTACAGCTTACTTGATCGTAAACAGCATATATAATTTTCTTTCACAAAGATGAAATCTAGCCGCTCTACGCATGTACATTATTCGAAACATGGGCGTCCGATTCTCTGGCGTTGTTTGCGACCAACAGGGGCGGATTGAACACTTTCAACTGGTGCAAAGTGTTCCATACGCTTTTTTGACACTAAAATATTGTTGGTCATCATGTCTTCAGCACCTGTGTACTTGAACATTTTTTGACATACTGGATCAGGGTTAGTTGTTCACAGTTGAAACCCAACGTCATCCGGTGGGTTGGTGGCTGTCAGTGAGACAGACGACATTAACCAGTAACTGTTGCCCGCTAGTGACACTGAAGAGGTATTCACTCTGTATCACTCTATCTATTCGGGAATATAGCTGGTAGAGTTCTAGCTTTCTGCAGGGGATGCTCCATCTGGACCGTTGTATCTCCAGAAAATTCGAGTGGCTAGAGCACGAACAGATTCTGATTCTTGCTTAATGTACAATAGACTTTCGCTTGGTTTCCGTGGGGCAACCTTCTCCAACCCCAGCATTAGGGCGAACCTTCTTGAGCTGACGCCTCGACCTCACCCATGATAAGCGTGGCAGAAGGTGCATTCAGCTATAGAACGCAACCTCATGTGATTTACAATTCCTCAGTTTAACCTTGTTGTGCCATGGATAGGTTCAAAGATCTAAAAGCAAACATTAGTACTTATCAGGAGACCCAACATGTGAGAAAGGCTCTCAGAATATACGTACCTCGAAACAAAGTACTCAAATATTCAAGGACTTTTGAAGCAACCGCCCCAGCCCACCCTCCGTTTACCGACAACACTGATACTACAACTTATCAGACAATATCCAACATCCCACGTTCTCCCATCATCCGCGCCCAGTGCTTAAGAGCAAAACAAACAAACAAATCACAATCAAAACTCAAAACTCACAGAAGTAATACAAAGACCATTCTTGCTGTCATAAGTAAAATGATTCACATGCGGCACCGTCCCGGGAGTCTTGCACTGAAAGAAATCGGAAAATCGCGGATAATTATTTCAATCTCTGCATCGGTCGCAGTTGGGCGTGTCGTCGCTGGGAAGATTGTAGTGGTACATGTCTCTGAATCTGCCACAGTACAGGTTTCTAGATGGTGAGTTGGGCACCTGTGCGAGCGCGAGGGATGCTGGCATGAGCAAGGTGGCGAGGACGGGCTTAATGGTTTGAAGGATCGTAGGGGGTTTGATGGGTCAGGTAGATAAATTTTGGGTTGTTGTGTATAAGGTGGAGAATTTGAGAATTTGATTGGATTATGGATGGGAGGTTATCTTACTTACATGTTTCCATGTTTACCGCTCATGGGCTTATATAAAGAATGGTGTACTGAACATATCAAGGCCGGATACTGAGCCGAGATACGATATTTAGCGCCTAGGCGCTAAATACATTATTCTAGGCGAAAGGCAAGGAAAAACACGAAAGTTAGCGCGAGAAATGATCTCTGACCTGAGGTGAAGGAAAGCGCCAGTGGTGAATGTTGGTTTCTCCGTTGTGATGTTCCCCCAGGCCTGAGTCGAGGCCCTGTCATATAACCCCAAGCCTCAGCACGCACAAGCATAGAGCTAAGATTGGAACCTTTAGGTACAAGCTAAATTGAAACAGTAAGACTAACTCATGGTCGACATCTCTGACATCAAACCGTAAAACAAAAACAAGTGCCAAAGATAACGTGGTTTCCAAGAATACCTACCCTCCAGTATTACAAAGTAGTAGTAGTAGTAGTATCTCACCCGCCGCCATGCATGCTTTCAAAGTCCAACCTATCCAAATAATATCTAAAAATCTAAGCCCTTCAACAAACGCCATTACCCAGGTAAGACCTAAAATTACAATCTCAATCTCCCTTCCTCAGATCTCCCACCGAACAAACTCAGAAACCCATTTGCACGATCACTTTCACCCCTCTCTGCCTGTCTTCTACTGCGTCCGACTTCGACTTCGTCTTCGCCACCAAGCCACTTGGGTCGAGTAAAGGAAAAGTCGTTGGTCTCGAATGTGTTCTTGACCCTGGAGGCAAAGTTCTCGAAAAAGTTTCCTTCGCCTTCGTCGTCTTCTAGCAAGGGCCGCCTTTGCTCAGACCGGACTCCTGACGATCGTGTGACACTGCTTGGACCATTGGTAGCTGCTGCTAAAGCACTACGACTGGATGATGCGGGTGTTGGAGTGTCTGTGTAACGTTCATTTGACGGCGATGTTGTGCGTTGAGAAAGACCCAGGACATTTCCGCTGGCGCCCTGGACTTCACGTGCGATCAACGCGCGGCCTTCACGCCAAGAACCAGTGCCTGCATGAGCACCTGCTGCTCCGTCTTCTTCGTCATCCAAAAGATCACCAAAGCCGCAGATGTTCTTCACTTTGCCGTAAAGACCAAACGCTGTTGCAAAGACAGGGACGAGGATAAAGATAGGAAAGAAAGCACTAAATCCTTCACCAAGCGGAGTCAAGACAATGAGCCGGCCAAGGAATTTGTAGAACATGGTGCCCTTCCAGATGTTCTTATCCGTCATTGTCAAGAAGTTGTAGCTCAGAGGAACGGTCAATTTCGCAACCTGAAGACCATACCATGTCGCACTCTCCTGGTAGGTATTGCGTCGTACGAGCGCTCTGTTCCCCCAAATCTTGACCTCAGTGAGGCTGTAGAAGGCACAAATACACATGTAGCATAGCCAAGCTGCAGCAATAACCTGGCTGTTGAAACCAACCGATGAGCGGCCACTGTCATGACGATGGACGACTGTCCAGCCAATGATGGAAAGCTTCGGACCCCCAAAATCCTGAGCTTCGCGAACGCATTCTGACCAGACAATTGAGATGGAGGCTAGAATTGCCATAGCCCATGATATGTATATCAATGCAGGAATGATATGAACGTGGAGGTGGTACCGCGTGAAGGGAGTGAGAGGTGTAAATCGATCGAGCAGGCCTGTATGAGACAATCTGGCTGCACCCTTGAACTCGAGATGTTTGCTGGCCTTGGAGTCGAGGATGGCTTGTGTCCGGACGGCTTTCCATACAATGTGATCCCATTCGTTCTCAAACCGACATTTTGCGTGTCTCGCGCGCTTCAGCTTCCTCGTCAGCTCTGCAAGATATCGCTCGGTGATGACTGGTGGAATCGTTGTTGTATTTCCACGTCCAAGGATACCAACCCGACTTTCTGGTAGGCTGCTCCTCTCCGCTATCTCGTCAATCCACTCTTGAAATTCCTTTGGAATACCATTTTTCCTCTGCTTGAGTTGCACAACCTGAAATTCGTACTGATCCAACTTCTCCAATGCCTCGGTCAGTCTTTCATGGACTTTGGGTGCCTGGCCCTGTATTCTCTTTAATCGTTCGCTAACGCTCGCGTACCGAAACAAGCTCCGTGGGAACGCGACAAGCCCGTGGCCCATAAGGTAAATGCCTAAAATAAGACCCCAAGCATAGGCAAGCGCCATGACCAAGCTCTTGAAGGTGTCGGCCTCGAAGCCGTTCCACCATATCAGGTAGACGGAGCCGACGACGCTGCATGCCAGCAGGATGAGCCAGTATCGTCCGTTACTTCGAAGCGCATACTGCAATCTGGCTTTGGGCTCCCTGTATCCGCTGTCGCAATACTCGCCGAGCATAGGCAGTATAGCCCATGTGAGGGCGAATGTGAGCCAGTAGATGACGCGCCATGTCTTGTACACAACCGTGTCATTTAGCCATATCCCCCTTGCGCCGTCAGTTGTATCGAGTCCGGCGCTGCTTGCGAGATCGATGGGAAGCAGGACGACGATGCTGGCTGGAAGAGCTATCGCTAGAAATACGGGTAGGACGACGTATGCGGGTGTGGTGCGAAGCGGGAGATAGTAGCGTAACAGCAGGAGGACAAGACCGCATATGGAGAGTAAGGAAAGGACGAAGAAGGCAATAGAGCCGGACGCTGAAGACGTCATGGTAGCGCGCGGTCGCAAGTACGCATAAGAAAGGCGACGATGGGTGTGTGTGTGTGTGTGTGTGTGTGTGTGGTTGTTAAGGGAGATTGTTGGGTTGGTGCCTGAATGCCTGGATGGCGAAAGATGGTTCGACGGTTGTTACGGGCAGCAGCAAGCGTACGTACGAAGCTTCGGAATGCTCAGTCTCGCGTCGGAATGCGGAAGTTGCGCGACCCGGTGCACTTCTTACTGCCGCCTTCCATCTATCCCAAGCAAGACGGTACTACCCATTCTACTGCTTGTTCTTTCCTTGGTTAAACGTCCAAAAGCCCCGAGTCCCTTAGTCAAGCCTTGGCCCTTTGTCCGCGTAGCCTCAGCCCTATGCGCCATGACGACGGCAATGGCTAGGCACACGGGCCACTTGCTTGATATCTGCTTTCGTAATCAATCGCCGGTCCATCTCCGACGCTAATTGGCGGCGAACCTGGACGAGCGATTGCATCATCTGTCAAGCTGTCTATTCGACGGGGGCGCATCACTAATCCACTTGGACATACTACATAGCACATCTACACTTCAAACAGGTCCATTGCACATACCCTTCCTCTTACCAATCTTCACAACGCCTCTGGCTACTTGAGTACGTCTTCCTTCCACAGAAACCTCATCAAACAGACCACTTATATACATAACCAGACCCTACAACCGCCAAAATTTCGTTCCTGCGCCACTTCTTCACGCGCGCCCCCTCACCCACAACCATGTCCGCCACGAAGACCAAGGTTCAATCCATCATCGACGAGAACCCCGTCGCCGTCTTCTCAAAGTCCTACTGCCCATACTGCAACCAGGCCAAGCAGCTGCTGAG